GGATTTTTCGAATCAAGTTACTTAGGGTTGTGAACCCTACCGTCAATCTTTATCGACGGTTGACTTTTGGTTAATGGGTCTCAAATCATTCTAGAACTCCTCTAGGGATGTGTTTTACGTAAGCTATATGTTCCATTGATAAGAATTCTAAGTAGTTATTTGATATTTGTTCTAGACGATGATCATCAGGATGCCTCGATATTCGTGTTAGGGAGTTGTAGCGCGGACCTCAAGTGAGTGGGTCTCTTCCTTTTTATTGTATATATATGATTGATAATTTCATAAACACTTTTAAATTGATTTATGAACTTTATGCCATGTCATATATATTTATATATTCTAAATATTATGAGATGGTTGAGTTTTAGATTGCATTATGGCATATCCGTATGCATATTACCTACATATAATTGTTGTGAATGCTTTGAAGTACTAAGGTGAACACGAGACGCGCAGGTAAGTCCAGGTGAGTTTTTGGTGTTATTTGAAATGATTGAGTGATGGCATGACTATATGTATGTTTTATGCAACTCCGACACTGTCGTATAAGTTGCAATAATAGGCAACTCCGACATTATCGTACAGGTTGCAATAATAGGCAACTCTGACCTTGTCGTACAGGTTGCCTATGAGTCGTATAGGTTGCATTAGGCAATTCCGACTCCTGTGTCAGCACAAATTGAGAAACACCGGATTTTATTATGCTATTGCTAATATGTAGTGATTTGGAATATTTATAGATTTACTGTTGTTTTGCAATTCATTTCTTACTATGTCGTAGTATAACTTTTTGAAAACCATACGGGTTTTACAGCAAGGGGTTATAACATTTTCAAAATGTATTTATTAAAACTTCATTTTCAAGCCCACTCACCCTAGTTTCTTTTTGCCCTTCCAGGTTTTAATAGGTGAGCTTTCTTATTGACGAGGATTTGTGGCAAATCTTGGTATTGAAGATTACCTTCGATGGTATGATTCTTAATCCACTCTACTGTACTTTACTTATGCTCTGACGTCACGGTGAAATAGGTTCATTCTCACTCACAGTGCACTCTTGTATTTAGGCACTTTTAGGTTTAAATTTACTCATATTTTCCACATCACTACACTTTATGATGGCTTCGTCACCTTCCAGGTGTCGGCCAACATAGCTTGATTCGGAGTCCTAATGGACATTCTGGGTCGGGGTGTGTTATAAGTGTTCTCGTTCATTAATCAAAACCACTATTGTTTCTTGTAAAAAAAATTAAAAGTTTGTGATTCTTACTAATATATATAATTCCATACTAATACAAGTGTGTGTGTGTGTGGGCGAGGGCCCTTTATGCAAAGAGATCCCCATTTTTTTCAAAAAATGGGGATTAGGTGCGGGGCTCACTCCACATTGACCTTCAACAGTCCGAACCACTTATTTTGTAAGTCTCGATTCATAGATCATCCTTGCAAAAATTCAATTCAATCCAAAACAATTTGCCAATTTAATTATCAAGATAAAATTTCAGTGTTTCTTATATAATAAAGTATTCGTTAATTTCTTTGAACCCAATTAGATGTCTTAAACATTTTTGATTTAGCTAATATTTTGCAATGATAATCTATGAGGTGCAACTTGAAAAATAGACGGTTCGGATCGTTAAAGTTCGATATGCGATTATGTAAATCCTAGGTATATTGAGTTTAGGATTACTCATTATTTTAGTTATTCTTTCCTATTAGACTTTGTATTTATTTGGGTAACAAGTTTTAGTTTCCTCATAGTTTACTATAAATAAAGGCACTGACATAAGGGAAATACATCGTATGATTTCCCTACGCCTTATTTCTCTCCATTATCTCTCTTGCCGCACCCTCTCTCTAGTCTCTCCCTTTAGAAAATTGGCCCCAACACTTTGACTCCTTACATTATGCAAAAGCGGGAGAGCTTGGGCTTGTTTGGAAAGTGTTTATAAATGACTAAAAGCGTTTTTATATAAAATCACATCAAATGCTTTTAGAACCAATCCTTAGTAAAAATGCAAATTAATCCTGGAAAAGCACTTCAAGTGATTTGAAACCCAATAACAATTTATCTAAAAACGGTTTCAATCATTTAAAGACACTTCTCAAACAAGCCATTTGACTCGAAACCAAATAGCTGAAGACGAATATCGTATCAACTAGGACAATTCACCACTTACGATCATTACTGAGTGTATTATTCTTCATAAAACACGTGCATTATGTTACCCTTACATGTCTATCCTCCTTTTTTTTTTTTCTTGGTTATCTATTTCACCATATTTATAAATGAAAACCACGTTTTCCTTGTTTGGAATGAAAGCCGCGTTGTTTGTTAGGGAAACGAAAACCGTGTGGGTAAGTTTTTTTTTTTTTTTTTTTTTTTTGTCAAAAGATAGAATTTTATTGAATTCAATTTGAATCGTTATATGAGCATCTTCTGCTAGAATATTAAAAAGAAACGCAGGACCTAACTCATTCCAACCAAATCTCTCGTCATACTTAATAGCGTACACCGCAATCAAATGAGTTGCACAATTACAATGACGAGGGGTAAAGCAAGCAAATGACTTTGTGATCTCTGAGGCAAAAAGTGAATCTAAAAGTGACGAAAGCATAGGATATGACTAAGGTAATGTTTATGATATTGATAAATCTTTCACAATATATTGAGACAATTTGATAACAAAGCATATTACATTAGTGTGTATTCCGCAAAGCTTACCTCTTTTATTCAAAGAAAAATAATTTTCTCAAATTCTCCAAATAATTTTCCTTCAAGAGCAAGCAACTTGAGACAAGAGTGGCTTAAAAGGAAAGTCGGATTCCCAAGAGAAGTTAAGACCAAAACTTGCATGCGCATAAATTGGTTTTTTGTTGTTGATCAAACACACATCACCAGATTTCCTTAAGATTGAAGGATCGATGGGTATTGCAGATACAAATCATCGCAACTTAGCATGACATTTAGCTAAGAACAGTGGCAGTCATTAATGATTGTTACGTTCCACGTTGCATTAATAATCTTTCCAGTTGGCCGGTGTTTAATTTTAAGATTTTTTACAAGGAAAGGGATCCTCTGTGGATTCCTTTTACCTAATACTCTTCATCAAACAATCCGAACTCTTAAAATTTGATCTTATAACTAAAGTTATTATAACTTTTAAAGTGGGCCCGTGTTTTTAGCCGTTGAATCAAATTTCAAGGATCCGGATTGTTTGATGAGGATGATTGAGTGGAAGGTATCCGGGGAGGATCCCTTTCCTTTTTACAATGCAAGGTTTACAATATCCTGCAATATATTATCAATTATGTAAAGTTGGTAAAAAAAAAATGCATAATGCATAAATTATATGGAATTACACTACCAATTAACAAGGTAAATACAATCATGTAGGGAAAGAATCACTAGAGATATAAATAACTATAAACCAAATCTATCTAGAATTTTCACAATCACAATCAGATAATATTTATAATACTCCCCCATGAGTATGTAAATACTCAAGTGGATTCAACATCAAGTTAACAAAGTTGAGTAGGTTGATTTGTCGGCACTGATCTGGGAACACACTAGTCTCAAACGAGGGAACTTGCATATAGAAATAAGTTTCACAAAACCCGGCTATGGTAAAAGCCAATATCGGACAAAAACTCATAACCTAAGTAAAAAAGTGAGTTAATGCAAAGCCAATTTAAACGTCTACGAAATGTAAACGAGGGTATGACCAGCTCATGATTGATGCCTTGTCAATACCCCATTAGGTAGCAAAAACTCGAAGGAAAAAATGCTCCTAATCGTAGGGAAAAAAGTATGTTAAGATCAAGCAAGTATATTTTGGGATACTCCCTGAATTTGACATAAATTCAAAAAGAGCTAACAATATTACAACTCATAAAGTTTACGCATACCACACTTATATTGTTACTTCTCACACGTTCACTCTTAAATTTTAGTCGTCGGATTAAATGTATTGAAAAAGTTGAATGGCCAAACATGAACAAGAGTGCGTGTGAGGTAAAAATAAATGTGTGAATAACATTATCCTTTCTTATAAGACATATCTAACCTAGGGCTCTTTAAGGGATCTGCTTAGCACCAGGTCTTCTCCAAGACTCCTCAAGGGCCACTTTAGGACAAAATTGGTATCCAATAAATCTCGTCACCTAACGTCTTTCAGCGTCTAGCCTCTCTCACTATTAGTATAACAAAAGATCTAGAAAGCTAGATTTTAGGGGCTAAATACTTGTTATAAATTTTGAAACAGATCTGGAAAATTGATGAAAGACCAAGACTACATGGTCTTGTTTGTTGGGTTAGATGGGAAGACAGATAATCCACTTTGTTGTGGATTCATAAGATCATCATGTTGAGTTTTGTCAATCTTATATTTGGACACAATAAACAACAGATTATTTTAATTGATAACAACCTATCATATCATCCAGTCAACCCCAACGGGGCCTAAAAGTAGTAGACTGGTTGTTGAGAACCAGTAAATACACGACGGAAGATAAAGTACCCTACCCAATTACTAGACTCGAATGGAAGTTGTTGCCCAACAATGCAGTATTGGATATTTCGGTTTCGGAAACGATTTCCGGTTTTTTTTTTTGACAAACAATGAAGTTAGGCTGTTAAATTGCTAGTTATTAGAGGGAGGGGATTGGTGGAGATCAAACACGCACTAAAGTGCATAAGTATGTTTGCTTTCCGTCACTATAGTAAAGCGTCATTTGCGTAATCATTGGATTTAATATATATCAAAGAAAAATCAATGCACAGAAACAGTGCAAATGAAGACGAGAAAGAGAATTTGTTGAGATTTGCAACCCTAGCTTATTTGGTTTGGGTAAACCCTTGATCCATTGTGTTTTAAAAAGGAGTCGGTCCTCTTTGCAGACAATCAAAGTTTGTCATGCGTTCAAAATGTTTACCTTTTGCAATTTGCAGATAAAGAGGAACAGCTCGAGTTAAGCGGGTTCTAGGGCAAAGAACAGCATTAGGCAAATGACATCTATCTTCACTCACTTTAAACCTTACAAGATATTGTACATTATAACGGCTCCAAGAGCTTTTTCTATAAAGAATGGGACTTTTAACCAACCCCACATAAGTGGATCAAAACAACAGCAAGACAAAGAATTACAAAGGGCCACCAACATAAAACTGAAATCGCCCACAAACCCTAAAAAATCAAAGATTTCAAAACCGTAAAAATCATGGAACGCGGTCACGACTGGTGACATCCCTCCTTGCGTACTTACAGGGGTATGATGCTTCTTTTGTAGCTTCCCTCTCAAGTGTCTGATCTTGGCATCCACTCTCGCCGTGAACCCTATCTTGGTTTCTTGTCTTGCCTTCGACGCCTCCCTCTTCCACATGCGCTGATCCTCGACATCCTTCTTGTAGTATTTGATTTCTTGGATGATATGATGGTCCATTGGATTGAAACTTCTTTGGAAGGCTAAGTGGACAATGTAGGGGAGATTACAAGCGATTGTTACTAAGAGGGTGGCTGACCAAAATAAAGGGGCAGGACCAAGAGCTTCGACTAGAATTTGATAGGCATTCTTACTCCAAGTTGGAGTCAGCATGCCGTAAATTAAGAGAAATAGGTACCACATTGCAATACTTCCCCACACAAAGAGATGCTGTATCCACGTAAAGTGGCTCATTGTGAGAGCAATCTGGCAGTTCACAGCCCACACGATGCAACTGAACATAGTGGTACCCATAGCAGCCATATCAGCCGTCTGGCCATTAGCACGGAAGGCCTGGTCGTAGAAGATGATAATGTTGAGGAAGTAGATTATGAGAGAGCAGTATACACCATTACCCATCCACCCCAGTATCCTGTACCAATCGAAGAACAAATTTCTAGGTCCTTGTTGGTACAATGCTGGGAACTGCAAAACACAAAGTTTTAAATGACACTGCAAGGCTATCACAAAACATGGTTTATGTATTTACAAGGGCAGTGTTAGCAAGACTAACCTGTAAGCAGACCTCGGACGAAACATCTTGTTCAAAAACTCCAAGTGAAATGACAGGCAATGAGGTTAGAATGACATTGAATGATAACATGTACCAGTCATCATATATTGATTGCCCAGAGAAACCCGTGAATGCCTCGAAGTAGAAGAGGGTGAGACCAAATGCAATATTTTTGTAGAAGAAATAGCAGACCTGAATGCAAAACATCCCCATTAATAGGTAGAGGGCTTAAAAAATAATAAAATTTAAAAAAATAAAATAAAAAACACCACATGCATTTAAAGATATTACCATCTGAGCAATCCTCTTATAGCACCAATGGCCGTGGACTACCAAAAGTCTCTCCAAATACCGAAACTGGGAAATAGCAAAGTCACTAGCCATCACAGCCTGCAGGCAATTACCAAGTCTTGTGAGATTTAAAAGCCAAAAAAGAACACGCACCGAATTCACAAGACACTTAAGAAATTTGAGGTTTGGAACTTTGGACTGATGATTATGCCCCTGAATGTGCATGCGACCATTTTTAACGGATAATCAACAGGCATACATCACGTCAAGGACTAATTTAAAGCACTCAAAAAATTTAGGAGGCAAAGTGAGTCATCTCGAAATTCAAACACCAAAGTGGAACACAGGTCAAATTTAAGAGACGTCATCATATCGAAAATTGAAATTGATAATGTATGCTATGCATAACTGTTGCAAGCAAAAGACATTATAAGAAAGAGTCAGTCGGAAAGGATACCAACCTGCATACCTTCGACCCCACTGATTCCAACACCAATATCAGCTTCTTGAATCATTCCAACATCATTTGCACCATCCCCAATTGCTAACGTCGTTTTTCCAGTTCCTTGTTTGACTAACCTTGTTACCTAGTGTAAGAAAAAATTGAGCATATAAAGAAACAGCATGACGATACCCACATTCATAAGGATATCTCAGTCATTTGACAATTCAAATGGAAAATGAAATTTAACTGGAAATAGAATAAATTGCAAAAAAGGTATAAAAACTTACCAATGCCTTCTGCTTGGGAGAGACACGGCAGCATATGACTGATGCACAGTCAACAGCTAATCCCAAGAATAGATGCTTCATATCATCCTCCAAAGCATAGGTTAAAGTTTTTCCATCAATAATTAATGCAAATGCCGCATGTGGATCTTTTTCCAACTTGATCATTTGTGAGGCATTGGTGATTTGATTCAAAATGTTATCTTTCACCGCCTGCTCATTAGTGAAAAGACACAAAGTCTAACATTATATAAATTAATCTCCTGAAAATAAATCCATGTTCATTTTCTCAATTAAATATATACCTCTTTGCTATCTTGTCCCAACGTGTCTAAATTTGTGGTTGATATACAGATCTGCTTCATGCCCTGTCGGAGCAAACTACATGCAAATCTGAACAGGAAAAAAACCCCAAAGAAAAGAAAAGATATCATTACATTTGTCTAGAGGAGCATCACAACAGTTACAATGAGCAATAGTTCCTCCTAAGATCAAGAAAACAGGTGCTTTCGGCTTAATTGCTTAGAGACAAACCCTATGTTGATTGCAGTTTCCATCTTGTCCCCTGTCAAAACCCAGATCTTGAGACCAGCTTGTGCAAGATTGTCTATGCACTGGGGCACCTAAAGAAAAGAAAATGAAAAAAGAAACTAAGTAGCAGCAGATCAGTAAGCCAACATCAAATTACGTCTAGAACCAACAATTTATGTACCCCTTTTTGCAATTTGTCCTCTACAGCTGTAGCACCAACAAGGATCAAGTCTCTTTCCATCTTATCTGCTAGTCGCTCAAGCATTCCATCCCTATCAGCCCCAATAGATGTTTTTGCTTTCTGAAACTCATTACTCCAAGCAGAGTACTCGGACTCCTCAAGCTTTCTATAAGCAAGTGCCAATGTACGCAACCCAGCTTCTCCATATTCATTCAAATGCTTAGTAGTAGCTTCCTCATACATTCTTCCATTCTTTGAAAGTCGATCGAAAATTATGCTGCATAAGCCAAGTAAAGGTATGATGTGAGAGAGAGAGAGAGAGAGAGAGAGAGAGAGAGAGAGAGAGAGAGTTGAAGTAGAGACGAGATGAAATAAGAATCAAACAACTGCTTAAAGCATCAAACAGTTCACTCGGTTAATTATAGTTAATTATATTTGGCCTGAATGAAACCCCAATTAAACATTTAAAACTAAACAACAAATGAAAGCTGACTGAAGACGCTGCATAATGCTCAAGTTGAAGCGCATATGAATTCTGACTGAAGACAGCAGCCGCACTACATTATGTTATCAATTGCCCAAAAGAATTAAAGAAGAGTTGTGAGCCTAACCTGTCAGCACCTTTGCACATCAGTAAAAGCTGTCCATCTTCATCTCGCACAATTACAGACATACGCTTCCTTTTGCTAGTGAATTCCAATAAATTTAAGATTTTGTACTCCCTGTAAGTTTCCCAAGAAAACAAGATGTTAAGGCAAAAGTAGAAACTTAAATGCAATGCTGTAGTAATATAAATCATTCACTCACCTTTCCACTGGTCGTCCTGAATGATGATACCTTTCGCGGACAAACACACCTGATTGACTTCTTTTACAAAACTCAAATCCTAACTCTCTTGCTGCAACAAGAAAAGCTGCTTCATCCGGTGACTCTGCTTCATATGTATAACTGCCAGTCTCTTCATTTACCTCTGGAATTGCAGTGTGGCAAACTGCTAATATCCGTAAAAATAATGAAATCACATCAGGGCTGGACTCATTCATCCAATTTCCTCCCATGAGGCGGCTGTCCTCAAAGCTAAACCCCTTTATGGCAGGTTTCCGATCCTTATCTTCATTGGACGTAACAACAGTCTCTAGCTCAATTTCCGATCCTATTCCATTCTCCCATGATACATGCGCATTATGTTTTCGCATGGGAAAATTGGCAAGCTCATCATCACGGTCTTCAAGGTCACTAGCCATCTGTTTTGCTGCTGCAAGTTCAACTTCACTGGAACGAACGCCATATGCAGTACCAGCAATGGAACACTTCAGAAAGTCCATCTGGTTGCAGGTTAATGTGCCAGTTTTATCAGAGAGGATCGTGTCTACCTGGCCTAACTCCTCATTCAAATTTGATGTCCGTGCTTCAGCAGGCTTCCCAGTCTCTTCATCATACATGAGTAAGTCTTGGTTAATAAAGCTTGCTTGCAAAACCTTCACAACCTCAATTGAAACATAGAGAGAGATAGGTATTAGATATCCATAAAGGATGAGAGCGGTGACCAAATGAATAAGGCCAGACAAGGCAGGCTTTTTTGGGCTATACATATCCGTTGTATTATCAGGTCGTAAATACCACGAGTCTGGCATGCTGAATTTTATCTTCACAGCAAAGCCTATTGAGCTGATCATTGAAATCCCTAAAAGGAGGGTGAAAAGAATATAGATAATGTGATCCATTTTCCTTTCTATTCCGCTCCTTTTTGAAGGGGACTTCGTTGAATTCTGCATGACTTTGCTATCATGACCCGTAAATATCACCACCCCATATACATATGCTGTATTCCTGAGCTTTGAATCTCTCAAGAGTATCTGATTGGGCTCAAGAGGATACACCTGCCGATCGTACTCAAGATTACCTACGAATGAGTAAAGATTGGGGTTTGGATCTTCACATTGAATTGTTGCCGTCAAATCCTTGAAAGCGCCATCATCCTCCATTGGCGAGGTTACTTCCAAACATCTCTTTACCTTCAAATTTGTTTCACCATCTAAGTTCATAGTCTCAACATAACAAATCCCATCCTCGTAACTTGATGACAAAAGAAGCAAATCTGCAGGAAAGAATTGATCCTTTTCCACTTTCACAACATCTCCAACCCGAATTTTATGCCATGGCCTAAAATCAAAAACACCATCTCCTTTATGAACGATAACTTTACGTCGATTAACCTTCATATCCTGCAAGAACCTATTCCAATCTTCCATCGCTTCCTTTGCCATGCTAAGACCAACAACAAATACCAGAGGAGCAATCATACTCACTGGAGAGAAAGGTGAAACAGGTGTGAGGGAAAGAATTGCAGCTAAAAGGAAATACACATTGGCAACCCGTCTGAACTGCTCAAAGAGTGCTTTGGGCAAGAACGTGATAACGTTATACTTGGTGGTTGATATATAATTTGAACGGTATTTATAAGGCTTCTTTTGATGGAAATGAGGTTGGTTGCAATATACAGTTCTTGTGAACCCAGCTCCTTGGATTGGGCGAGGCGCCTCTGTCTCATCGGCTTTAGGCTTACGGCAGAATGTGTAAAGGTTGCTCTGGCGAAGCTTCGCCCTTATCTTTCCTCCTGCCATTTCTATGGATCCCCGCCAAAGCCAACTATACTTGGCACATATTCATTACAAAAAGGACCCGAATCTCTGTCTTTGCTCTACGATTAGCGACACCCTTGTCTCCAGTTTCTCCTTACAGATGCCTAATAAACACAAACCCCGATGAAAATTAGCTCTCAGCAACTAAAATTCACAAAATCCAGAACATAACATCCTTAACATATTTCAGACACCAAGCAATTAATCAAACATCACGCATTAATGTTTCGAAAAAAACTAAACTCATTTCTTAAAAGAGCTCCTATTCAAAGCTACAATCAAATGCCTTACATACTAAGATTTCTAACTTTTCCAACCTTTCAGATTTGAGAAATTCACAGTAAAAATTAAATCATAATCATTTTCTATACCTTTCTAAACGTGAAAATTTACGTGAAAATTGATAAAATAATTGATATAAGAAACCACAACAAACCCAATGATACGTTCAACTCAAAAACCAAATAATTCAAGAAATTCAACGAAAATAATTCAAAAAGGATCAAAACCCAAGCTGAGAATCGGACAACGTCCAGCTCAAACGTTGGAACAATCATTAACAAAAGCACAGATTCCTCGTACAAAAACCTTAAAATCCTCCAAAACAATGCAGCGCATCCGTAAAAAACGAGAAAAACAAGTTGACCCAGAAGAGAAAAACAAATCTTTTCCCCAAAAAGCACATTAATTCAAACAAAACACGCACAAAAACACAATGGGTACCTGCCATCAGGGGACCTGGCCCATCCTCAAGGCAAATTTAGAATACCCATTTTGCAGAAAAGGGAAAGAGCGAACTTTGAGCTGCAGATCAAGGAGGAAGACAAAGTCTAGAGAGAGAGAGACAGGGAGAGAGGGGGGAGGGAACAGAAAGAAAGGAAAGAATTGAGTTTCCGCTTTCTCTTTCTCTCTCTGCCCGTCGTGAAGTCCAAACCAAGGCCAGGAATTTCCGGGCCCTCCCTTTTCTATTTATATATATATTAAATTAAATTTCTTCGGGGAAAAAAAAAAAAAAACGAAGATATTAGATTAAATATGTATATTTATATCATTTCAATTTTATACAGTTTCCTGGGGTTTTTTGGGGGAGGGCTGGACATATAGAACTGGAACCTGGTCCGAACCGGGTCTGAACTGCGCTGGTACCGAAGGATTTGTTATGTATTGGGTTTTTTCTCGATTTCGGTAAAAATCAAACCGAATTGTATTAAATAGGGAACAATATCGATCCTCATTTTCTTAATCGTTTCATGCTAAATCGTAGTTTTTTATTTAATTTTATGTTTTTAATTACACATGTTAAACATCCATTGGTTGCTTGGGAGGTAGGGTGGTGTTTTATTTGTGTATTCATTGAAATCGAATGAGTCATTTCCTCTTTGTCTCTTTTTGCTGAACTATAGTAAGCCAACACCCAAATCAGATCACTCAACGACTAATGACGAACGAAAAAATACAGTATTTCACCCTCTTCCAAGCGTCTCCTCCTCCCTCCTCCACCCTTGTTCCTCACCTCCTCCCACCTCAATCCATTGTTTGCAGTTCGAAGTTTGAACTTTGAAAGTTCAAAGGATTGAGCTCCTCGCCCCGGCGTCCACTCCTAAGCTTCTCACAAACTCAAAATTACAAATTGTAAGCCTAATGGATTGCTATTGAGGTTCTTGCGCTAGCTTTATATTTTAAGGTTATAATTTTTTGGGATGCAATTGTAAATTTGTAATGCTTAATTAATGTGATCCTTTTTTTTTACTTGAAATTTCTAGTATTTGAAGTTGGATTTTGCTGGTGTGCATTGTATGTGGTGGTTTGAAGTAAATTGAATTTTTTGAGAATCCAAGGTGTGTTTTGTAAGTACAACCCAAAATTGAAACCCTTCTTTTTGTATAGAAATTTGTCGGTTCGGTACCAAACGGTTCGGAACCAGTACCAAACGGTTCGGTACACACCTCCATACATACCGAAATTGTATCAATTTTTTTTCAATTTCAATTTCACTTTATACTGTTCCTAACCGAACCATGTCTTCTATATATATATATATATATATTTTTTTTTTTTTAGTTGATATTTATTGATTGATTGTCATGACCTGTCGAATTTTATATCGCTGGTCTTTGTTTGAGCAGCCACCAAATGAGAACCGGTTTGGTCTTTTGAACTTCAATTTTAAGGTTTTACCGAATTATAAAAGCTTCACCCTCCAGCACAGCGGGACCCACTTTGTCCTACGTGGCATGTCTGCAACTCCAGTTCTTTTGTCCCGGTAGTGTCATCCTCATTGGTCAATTGGTTACTGTGGTTTTTTTTTTTTTTTTTTTTTTTTTTAACATACATAGCAATACAAAATTGATCGGTTCTAACTAGGTATCGAAACTCACTATCCATTAAACTTTAATTTGAGAGTTTTTTTTTACAAATAAAGAGAAATATTGTTATCTTTTTTGGTGTTTTAATTTTATTATTTAAGATTGAATCATATTCTTAATCTAGTCTTATTCTCATTTACAAGTCATTCTTTATAATCACTTGAAAATCAAAACTTACGGTTTTTACAAATGTTTTGTAAATAAAAGATGATGAGGAAATTTGGCAACGGTCAATTTTTGGTGCAAAGAAATATACACTGTCTTAACGAACTTTGTTACACCCAAATATGATTTTTTTTTTTTTGTTGTCTCTTTCTTTCATTTCTTATTTTTATTTATCTTTATGTCCTTTTTGTTGCAAAGATACAACCGTTACACTTAATTTTCAAAACAAAATTAGAAGAAAACTGATAAATAATTGGGACAAGTCGTACCTGGTTTATTAAGATGACAAGGTCAAATTTGGCTTATGAATAGGTACCTTCTGCATCCATAAGTCTTGTAGTGATAGCTGTGATAGTTTGACTTGCCATAAACCAATATACAAATTTATCTCAAATTGAAAATTGATAAATAATATATGTGTGTGTTTATATGTGCGCAATAATATATGATTTAGAATCTAATTACTTAATTAATTCTCCTATACAAGGTAGATTTTTGATATTGATCTCCATCCACAAAGGCATCTAGGTCTCACATCCATCAATAGAATCAAATATATCTTTATCAATGTATACAACTAAACTATCATTTAATAATTAATCTCTCATCCTATTACGATGTGTTCTTCACAATATTCATCGAAAAAGCTCTTTCAATGGAAGCAGTCACAACAGGTAAAATCAATGCTAATTTGACTAGCAAGTACACCAAGAGATATTGCTTATCCCTCTTCGTCTCCACCTACTTTTGTGCAAGACTACTAATTCGTTTCAACACAGAAACTTCATATGCAAATGTATGCCATAAATATAATTCTTAAGTTCATCTTTAAAAAGTGTGGGCTCTATACAAGGTTCTAAAAGACGCTAGACCCTAGTCGGGTGGCAGGCTGGGGCCCAGCGAGCAAACTATGCGGATTTAAGTAAATCTATTATATTTCGTGTAAAGAAGTGTCTGTTTATACTTAAAATATATATAATTACATCATAAACTACAAAATAGAATGACAGATATATTATGAAGTATCGGAACATAATAAAATATGAGGAACAAGCATATAATGTGTGTTCATTTAAGTATTCAACAAGTCTCTTGCAATTTATTAAAAAAAAATGCAAAATGAAAGTTATCTGTTTTTTGTCTAAATGAGTCGCAACTTAGGTAGATGTCTAGGCAAGTCTGGACAGGCTAGGCGGGCACCTCAACAGGTCTAGGCACCCTTTCTTAATTTTCAAACGCCTAGGCATTAATCGGGGTAGTGGCCAGCCGCCTAGTCCCTAGGTGAGACTTAGGCGGTGCTAGGCAAGATTTTTAGAACAGTGGCTCTATATCAAAAAAATCTTTGGATAAAATTGAGCAAGACGAGCTTACTTTTCAATGTCAAAATTTGAGAATGGGTCATCTGAGTTTCAACATGCCACATGAAGAAGCAACTATGTACTTGCTTCATTGTTGGTGCGTGTTTGACAATTCAACGTATTGAGAAGTTAGCGTGCTCAATTTAAAAAATATTAATTAAAGATCTTTATTTATTTCATCTGTTGCTGCTAGTATAAGGGTCAATTTTTTTCTTTCGAAAGGATAAATTTACAAACTTATTGGGGTCAAGGAATGCTAATGCCCCTGCTTTAGTTCCGCTACTATTCGTTTGATTCGAATATATTTAGTATTATGGGGGGCCCTCTTTATAAAAATTAGTAGCATAAGGAAATTCCAAATGGATGTGATTTTGGTTTTGTTTGGTTACCTCCCAAATGAATGATTAGAAATAACATGTTGTAATTCATACAATAGATTATTAGACATTTTTTTGGCGTTTTTCTTATACAAAGATATAATTTATAATTACAAGTTGGTGGCTTGATAACCATAATACCACTTTTAGCGTAAATTATTCAGTTATTACCTTTTATTTTGGGGTATCATACACTTTCCCAGTAAGATCCATATCCTCCAATGGCTGTGAAACAAAGTTTCAAGTTTCTAATAGAAAATTATCCCTTTGTGTACTTGGGACCCGCGGTGTGGGCTCCCACTCGGTCCACCTCTGCCCATGTAGAGTTGTGACGGGAACAACGAGTGGCATACTACGTGTTTTTATATAAGTAGTGAAAATTTTATTTTTTAAGTTATTAACTTTTTAACACATATATCCTACCATTTATATAACGATACATGATGTACTACCCTATGTGACGATCACATTGAAAAATCTCTTCTATAAAAGGAGAAGCAATTTTGGATTACAGTTCATATGGGACACTTGGCACCATATATAGTTCGAATTCGTATCAATTTTGCTTTTAGATTTGGCTCGTAACAAAATTAAAACAAAGGACTTACGCGTAAACTTTAGAGCATGTTTAGTCATAAAGAATAGAAACTAGAATTAAAAATAAGAAAAAGTGCAACTTTTTAAAAATGTTGCTAAGAGAATCATTTCACTCCTTAACTTTTCTACGTTTACTTACACACAAAGAATAAAAAGAGTGTAATTGTTTTCTTAAATTTGTAATTAAATACCCAAAAATAAGAAATCGGATCAAGGGATACTTGTTGAATAGATTCTTTTTCCTTACTTCGAATATTTTTAAGCTTTTTAATTCATTCATTTTTTCTATTTCTGTTAAGTAAATATGGTATGTTCGGCTCAAACTCTTTTTGAAAGAAAATTACAAAATGAAAGATCTTTGAATAAGAAGAGAGAAGATAAATCCATGTTAAGTGCTTCTTCGGAAGTAATGAAGAGTCTAGGTCCAAACCATGATGAAGTCCTCTTTCAAATCAATTATATCCATAACAAAAGCTCAAAACATTGGTTGTTTACTTCTTTTGGGGGTTTATGCAAAAGACCTTTAGTCGTATTGTTAAACTCACAACAGTGAGGTTAGTGTTTGCCTCAACAACTCATTACAACAATAAAAATAAAGTCTTATCTCATTAAGTGGAGTCAGTTGTATGAATTCGAAAATATTATTGCGCTTGATTTTGTGCAAGTTTTCCGTTAATTCTAACTACTCCATGTCTTTCTTAAAATTTCTTTTCTAGTCTTTTTGGATCTTTATCTACCTCTTTTCCCTGAGCCTCTTTCTCATAATCACACTTCCTAACCAAAGCATTTATAGGTCTTTGTTTCACATGTCCCAGACCACCTTAACTGATTTTCTCTCATTTTATCTTCAATTGCAGTTACTCATACTTTACCTCGGATATCTTCCTTATTAATCTTGTCATTTCTCATATGCCCAAACATCCAACGAAGCATTCTCATCTCCGCTACACATTACACTAATTGTTTGCACGTGTTGATGCTTGACCTACCTAATATTCTGTACCGTAAAGCATTGCTGGTCTTATTGGCATCCTATAAGTTTACCTTTGAGCTTTATTAGCATACGATGGTCGCACGACAAACTCGATGCACTCTTCCACTCATTCATCTAGCTTATATTCTATGGTATAGATCTCTATTCAATTCTTTGTTCTTTTGCAAGATAGATCCAAGATAACAAAAACGTTCACTCCTTAGAACTTCCTGATGTTTAATCCTCACGCCTTGACAACTCATTAAAAATGCCATATTAAAGTTAAAATCAATATCAAGAATGCCTTTTTTGCTTTACATTTTTCAAGAAGATTTTTTTTTTGGCTCACCCTCAAGTAGTTTGATTCAAATAATCTGATTTTGTTTACAAACTAGAAAAAAAAAAATCACTTTACGGACTCAAGCATGCTCCAAAAGCTAGGAACGACACCAATTTCTTTATAGATTGGGCTATGAAGCTTCATTAGTAAATCTTACATTGTTTGTAAAGAGCAACGGTGACTCTTTAGAGCAACTCCACCCCATCTAATTGTCCTACCTATTAGGTGATTCAATCCTCCAAACGCAACAAAAGTTGCTCTTAGTTGGATACTTACTCCTTTATGTTGACAATGTAACACTCAAATGTAACAAAAATACTTCATCTATCCAAATTGTGATTTCTCAATTATCTATAATTTGACATGAAAGACTCAGGAGATTTGCATTACTTTAAATTGAGTACATTTTTTTTTTTGAAAAAAAAAAGGACTAATTGGTGGTTTTGTCATAGTAGTCTACTCTTCCAGTGGTCGGAAAGTTTCAAAAGGCATTTCAGAACCCCATGGACACCATCGTATGATTCACCAATATAGGCCTGAGATTTGTCCTTAATCACTGAGCCACATCAATTTTTAAATTAAGTACATTGAGTACTGAATGTTTGTCCAGTAAAATTGGAATTTCATTACCAAGACAAAAGCGACACTAAGTATAAAAGCGTCACCCCACAGGCACCCAAAAAAAAAAAAAAAAACTAACTAGAATGAGGACGTGGCAGGCCGTCCTTGTTATGCACCAAAAAAGAAAGAGGTCCGAGGACCTAAGTAACTGCACTCATCTCCTGACTCTTACTTATAGCCATCATGGACAGCCTCTTGGACGCTCAATTAATCGTTTATTCAATCTAATTTAATGTGTATTTGGGGAACACTGACTTGTCAAGCCTCCAACATTTGTGCTTTCAATGTACAAATGGGTTTTGATGAGTTTGTGATAGGAGAGTGTTGATTAACTACTTAATTAAACTACTGATGATGTTGCTGTAGGCTGCAGCATATTATACAAACATAATTCGTTGCTGGCTCCACCTCATTACCATCCTTCATCAAAATCAATATAGTCGACCTAAAATGCAACTGGTTTGAATTAAAGTACTAAAAAAAAATATCTGATTTAGAAAAACCAGCAAGCGGAAGATATTTATTTGAGGAGTTTTCACAAAGAGAGATTCGAGATTCTGCTGTATAACCGGTTATTCTATTTTTATATCTTTTGTCACGTAATAAGAGATATATAATTGTTTTTTTTTTTAATTAATTTCTTGAAAACTAATTTCCACAGTCCTTGAAACTCTCACCGTTAAGAATTCTGAATAGGTCAAGAACTTAAATGATACGTTGTCATCTCCGTAGGACCGCACTAGTTTTTGTTCATATCTATATATGGCTCCACCTGAACTTGATGGACTATTTCTTGGCAAATTCCTTTTAACTACTGTCTTAATTAATATGTAGACCAAGACTTTTGAATTGTTTTGAGTCTCTTATTGCCAACTTTTCATGTACGCGTTACATAATTTTCAGGTTTGAATGTTAGATGGGCGGCTTCCTCGAAATACTACTTGTACTTTCAATTGCATTTCATTATTAAAAGAATATGATCTCAATAATCAAATGACAAATGTTAAGGTAGGATCAAAATAAATTTCGCCTGTCGTTTATTAAATTAAGAGTATTTTGCTATTTTTATTCTTATTTAACATAAATTTTCATCAAATAAACAAAATAATTGACGGTAGACAAATTTAAGGACCAATTCTATAGATTTCAAATCTTGAAAACTAAAGCAAATAGTCATGTCAATCTCATAAGCTTTTATAAAAAAATATTGTACTTAAAACGAGTTCGTCTTATCAAATGAAAAATAAGAAAGGCAAAAATGGTGGAAGAAAAAAAAAATACCAATCTTTCTGGGCCAACGATCTAGAAGCAATAATTTGCTTTATTTTTCTTTTCTGTTTTGGTAGTTAGGCAGAGATCCATAGTGATTGTATTCTTGGAATTATACCTACCAACTGTAACATTTATATTCAGATGCAAATGACTTAATCACACATAGACCAACGCGCAAACGTGTAAGCTGATGGAGCCATCACGGACATTGATTATGAGGAATTTTTTCCGCCCTTTAAATTTGACCTTCTAGTGGAGTAGAAGTACATGTGGATCGTTCTACTTGGGCAAGAATAATAGCGGATCTATGAAAATATTATTTGGACATCAATAAGAATAGTGTGTGCAGTGTGTAAATTTTTTGGATGAAATAGCATGCAAATTGGCATTCATCGAGTTTTGATAGGTTTGAGGTCATATACCAAGTTATATTGCATGATTGTCGACATATTGCTAATAACTTTCAAGCGAGCATGTCGATTGATGTTAATAGCTTTTGAGCGAGCAAGCCAACAAACACCAATATATGCTGGATGAGCCTATCGACAAATGCCCATAGTAACGCATTCAAAGACATGAGGTTAGCAGCTACTTTGCCCAATGCTCATAGAGGCAATTCAATGAGCAGTTGGAGGGTAGCTTTCAAGAGCATCTTAGATTTTCAAAGGACAACACCCAATTCTTCTTATGGAAGACTTTTGAGCTTTTGGGGTGGCGGGGGGGGGGGGGGGTTCAGCTAACTCATCTTGCCCCAAGGTGGATCCGCCGCTATGTCACCTAGAGGCAATGAAAAAATTGGGGGTGTGTGGATTGTCTTCGTATTAATCTCTTATCTTAATGGATTGTGTTATTTAAGTTAATTCCTTAAGTTATCGAACCGAAAAATTGAAATCTAAAGTTAGTAATAGGGTTGTCGAAATGAGTTTGACACAATTTGATGGGGAGAGATACGAACGATTATTTAAACAATTTAAACATAATATGTACTCCTGGGTGACACTAAACGAACTCGTTAGTTAACAGGTTAACCCATTAATTACAACCGAACTTAATAAGACTCAACCCAAATATTAAACTTTATGTGTCGTTTTATGCCATGTACAATATTACAAAGGCTAAATGTCATCTGGTCTTCACTTTATTAAAAGAGGTGACAAGTTAAAAAAATCTCATAAAACAATGATAGTTAGAATTATTATGTTGTAAACAAAGGCAACTCAAACATTGTTATCATGTGCATTCATACGGTTATGAAGAAATCAATTTAATTTGTCTGAGTGCCGACTTTAGCACGACAAGACTGAAAACTAATCAAAAGTATTCAAATCATTTGACACGAGTTTGCCAACTGTTGTAACTCGTTGTGCATGTGAAACAACCCACATATCATGGGTCGAGTTCATGGTCAAACACATATATGTAGAGGCCCAAACTTAAGATCGAAGCAAGCGTATGATGGGGAAATGGCACTACCCTGATTGTTGATGTCCCTTAACTCACCCTCAATATAATTTGACACTTAATATTATGGTCTAATGATATTCATCTTTACTTGTAGCTAAAAGATCTTAGATTCAATTCTTATCAAAGGCAATTTGAACCACATCATTGCTAGCTCATTGTAAAGCTTAGCTAACTCCCCCACCCCTTAGTGTAGATACTATCATTTGTTAAAAAAAAGAAAAAAAACTATGTACAATTTTTCTCCTCATACACACTCCTCTTTAATCATATCCGTTATTTCTGTTCAATTTATTTAGGGTAGTAAGATCCACACACCCACTTTTACTTTTCACACACTCTCTCAATTTCTGACCGTCGGATCAATTTGAATTGAAGAAGACCAATGGATAAAAACTAACAAGAGTGTGCGGGAACTAAAAATATGAGTGTGAATAGCACTAATCTTTATTTAATTCAATGCAAGATTGAAACCCCAAAAAAAAAAAAGAACAATGGTATAAAGAACCCATTGACCAATATCCAACTACTCTACATTATGAAGGAAGGGAACAAGACCTTGTCAAAATATGAAACAAATTTCCTCAGCAGAAAAAGAATAAAACTAAAAGTGAAGCCAATTGATTCTCTCTGCGCGCAAAAACACATCATTTGAGAAGGGTTCTGGTTAGATGCTCCCGTGCTGTTGCCCATGCTTGTGTTATGGTCTGCATTTTAGTAGAAGGCGACGGGATTAGATTAAGATACGAGTTTGTAAAAATTTTATGCTAGTTAGATTAGCGCTGCTTTGATATCTGAAAGATTGTAAAGTTCAAGATTTGATGATCTTGGATAGCAAGGTGTCAACATATCTTCTTCTTTAAGCAATGGCATGAGTGATAATTAATTAATTTGGTTTTCAACTTAAGGCATCAAATGAGGAGCTTGTAGTACCTGCTCAGACAACGGTGCATCGGCATCCATGGTATGAGTTGCCACCTTTCCTGCAATAATGCTTGGATCTGTTTCGAGAATCATCCTGCCATATCAATTAACGGCATAAATATACAATCAAAACACTTAATTGACTGAAATACGATTGAGGATGAACCAAGCAGCACCCATTTTGAACGTCTTGGGGTGTTTCTGAACAAAATGCTCCACAAAGAGAGAAGAATATCAGGTACAGTTTATGGACATGGACTAGTGATTGTTATTATTTAGAATGAAGTGTACCACAATTAAAAGACTGTAGCAAAGGTTGCAGATATATAGATGCATACACCCACATGCACGCACACAGACGATCTACTGTCACTTTGCCGTACTCATGATTAAAAGACTGACCAACTTTGCAGATATATAGAAGCATAGATGTAGAGTGAGAGAATTTAAGAAGCATAGCATACCCTCCATCAACAATCTCATCGAAACATAAAAGTATAAGATCCAGATTCTCTAGTGCCTCACGTTTGTCAACGTTGTTCCTACAAGAAGAACATTGTAAGATTATACAGTAAAAGTATGGACAAATAATCATCAGAAAGGAAAAAGATCTAACATAAAATTTTAACGACAAAGACTACCTCAAGAGAAGGGCAACTGCATCAAAAAATCCCTGGAGAACTGTGGCTAAAATCAGTTCATTTTCATCGTCACCTCCAGTCACAAAAAAGTGAAGGTCCTGCACGAACTTATATATAACAACGTTGCTCTCAAACATCATTATCTCCGCTGCAGTTTAAAAAAAAAATAGCAAAACATGAACACTGCAACTGTGGTGATATAACATTGACTTTTACAGCACATTGATGAAGGTCTTTTTTCCTTGGACTCTTTCCATGTTTACTTCAATCATGTTTAGCTGCATACCTTCTATCCGAGCATTTGTCTTCAGAGTCTTAGTGAACACAGATTTTTCAAAAGCCAACTTTGCACCATTTGTTGGCCAATCATCTGAGAAGTACTTGACGGCCACACGCTTTCCTTCAGAGTCCAGAAGAAGAATGTTCTTCACAGAAGGGCACGAGTCCTGCATGAAATTAGAAAGTTTATTAACTGAACAGCACGTCCATTTACTTCCTACATGATGAATACTCAAACTCTTTCGAGTTCAGCCTTATGGAACGATGTAGTATCCGTCATAAGTTCTCTTCGCCTCACATCAAGCTTTAATTCATCAACCTAAATAACTAGTCGGCTTGAGGAGGCAAACCTCAAGCTAATAACAACTGTACTGTGGGATCCATACTTCACGAATCACGCATAAAAATGCAGCATACATGCCCTGTCAGAAATCTATCGGGTCAAAACGAAGTGCTAAGCACCGGTGATTCTTCTCATTCTACAATCCTTACCAAATCTATAACAACACCATTGTATCCTCGCCGCCTCGGATCTTAATTAACCACATTAATCTTCTCAAATAAGAAATTAACCACAATATTCACAAACCCAATATAACAGCATTTCCAAACACATTCCCTATTGATTCTAAATCAGGTAAAGCAACAAATCACCCATAATCTTCACATTCTATAATTACTGAAACTTTTGCTGAGTTCATAAAGATCTAAAATTGGGGAAGGCCCAGAAACGCACAGAAAGAAAAGAAAAGAAAAGAAAATGGCTAAGTGTTGAGACAATTATATTTAATTGCATAGAATTCCAGACCTTTTTTCAGAATTTTACGGATCTTGTGTAACAATTGCACACACCCAGAAACGATCCGCATCGTAAACGGGAATCCTGGAAAATCAAGACATCGGAGAGAGAGAGAGAGACAGACAGAGAGACAGACAGAGAGAGACTTACACGGTAGCTGAAGAGGCTTGCCATCGTTGATGGAGTGCGAAAAGCAGAGAGCGTTTAGCTTTACAGTTGCAGAGTTCTGTGTATACGAATTATTTTTGCCAACGTTCTGTATTTTTTTATATAAATTAACTATTGCGAAATGATTTTCATTTATCAAAATGATAAGTTACAAGAGTATCTATAAGGAAGCTAAAAAATAACAAACTAACAGACTTAAGGAAATTACAAGTGGTAATTTTCCTAACTGACTTTTGACTATTTGTTATTACTATTATGTTGAGTTACTTGAGTACTTTCTCATCACATCTCCTCAAACTAAACGGAGAAGGTTGAAGTGATAGCTTGGATCTGAGAAGAAGAAATCTTTGCCTTGGAAGGGATTTGGTATGAATGTCAGCAAGTTGATCCTGACTGCGTATAAATTGGACAGTCAGCAGCTTGGCAAGAACAAGATCCTTTATGTAATGGTAATCGATTTCCACATGCTTGGTGTGAGCATGGAAAATAGGGTTGGAAGCAAGGTTAATCGTTGAAACGTTATTACACCAAATTTGAGGAAAAGAAGGTAGCTTGAAAGCAATATCTGTGAACAGTTTGCAGATCCATGTCAATTCAGCAGGAGTATATGCCAAGGACCTATATTCAGCTTCGGTGGATGAACGAGCAACAGTGTGTTGCTTTTTGGCACTCCAACTAATGATGGATGGTCCAAGAAAGATACAAAAACCCCCAGTCGAGCGTCTATGAGCACCCCGCCCAATCAGCATTAGAATATGCTTTGAGAGTGAGAGGAGTCGAGGTTTTAGGAAACCATAGGCCATAGCCAAGTGTACCTGTAAGACAACGAAGTATTCTCTTTAGTGCTTGAAAGTGGGGTTCTTTGGGAGAATGCATAAATTGGCAGACCAAGTTAACTGCAAAGGAGAGATCTGGACGAGTCCATGTAAGATACTAAAGGCCCCAGCAATAGACCTATATTCCTCTGGATTATCCAATAAAGAACCAGTGAGATCAAGCTTAGTAGAACCAAGAGGAGTTGTGCAAGGCTTTGCTCCATCCATCTTAGTTCGTTTGAGAAGATCCAAGATGTACTTGGATTGATGAATAAAGATCCCTGTAGAAGCTTGGGTAACTTCTAAACCAAGGAAAAAATGCAAATCACCCAAATCCTTAATTGGAAATTGAACACTAAGTTGAGAGATAACATTGGTGCAAGTAGTGGAAGAAGGTCCAATGACAATAATGTCATCGACATAGTCCAAAAAATCACCAAGATAGGTTGTTGCAACACAAACAAGCTGTGATCAGGATTGTGAAGCCTTAAATCCCATAGAGAATAGAGCAGATTGCAAATTTTCAAACCAAGCCCGAGGAGCTTGTTTCAAGCCATAGAGGATTTTTGCAAATGACAAACATATGAAGATTTGTCCTAATTAATGAATCCTGGAGGCTGAGACATATATACATTTTCCTTTAAATGGCCATGTAAGAATGCATTACTGACATCCAATTGATACAGAAAACCAGTTAGATTGAACTGCAAGCATGAGAAGAAGTCGAATGGGAACTAGTTTAGCCACTGGGCTAAAGGTATCACTGTAATCAATACCTTCCTGCTGATTGTATCCCTTAGCTACTAACCAGGCTTTATAACGGTCACAACCCATCAGGGTTCCTTTTAATCCGGAAGACCCATTTGCACCCAACGAGATTGTAAGAAGGATCAGGGGGAACCAATGTCTATGTTCTTGTATTTTGCAGAGCATAAAATTCATCCCGCATTGCGGCTCTCCAATGCGAATATTTGGATGCCTGAATATATGTAGTTGGAACAAATTCAGTGTTCAAGTTGGAAGGAAAAGGATGTTTGGTAGCAGTGAATGCCTTGGGCTTAAAAATTCCAAATTTTGACCTAATTTGCATAAGATGAGTAGAGACAGGAAGGGTTGGAGGTGGAGATGTATGGATAGGAACAATATCAAGAACCGAGACAGGGGCAGTTGCAGGAATTGATGCAGGTGTAGGTGCAGAAACTAATTCAGCTGCAAATTCAGTGGTACTTGCAGATTGTGTAGGTTGAAAAACAGGTGGAGATGCAGGTGATGGTGAATGTGGAATGGTAGAGTTAAGGTTGGATGAAGAATAAAGGTTGGTAAATGATTTTCTTTTTTCAAAATGATAAGTTACAAGAGCATTTATAGGGAAGCTAAAAAATAACAAACTAACAGACTTAAGGAAATTACAAGTGGTAATTTTCCTAACTGACTTTTGACTATTTGTTATTACTATTATGTTGAGTTACTTGAGTAACTTTCTCTTCATTAACTATGTACTTCTTGGAAAGAGATCCAAATCTCTTCCTCCTAATCCACTAAGGGTTGGTTTGGTATTACTGTGCTTTGAAAAAAAAAACTGCTTTTGCTATGCTGTAAGAATAAGCTCATTTTTGCCGCTTCACGTTTTCAACTTTTTTCACCCAAAACTATGAAAATAAGCTATTTTTAAGTGTTTACTAAACACTTTTTTGAGCTCAGCTTTTGTTTATACCCACTTTTTATAAAAGCACCTCAGTACCATACCAGTACTAAGTCCAGGGATCCGGGCCATTGAAATTTGATCTAACAGCTAAAGTTATTATAACTTTTAAAGTGGGCCCCTGTTTGTAACCATTGGATCAAATTTCAACGGCCCGGATTCCCGTACTTGGTAGATTAGAAGGAAAGGATCCGAAGAGGATCCATTTCCGTACTTATTTTCATTCGGGCAATTTCGTCATTTCACTTTTAAGTTTTGGAGTGTGGATACTACGTCAAATGACATGTCATTCGGGTTGCATATACCCAAATCCATTCATGCTCAACTCGACTTTTAATCCGATTGAGCGAGTTATGATTAGGTAATACCCTCCAAAACTTGGATGATGATCCTCTTTTGATCTTTTTTATGGGGATCTTAGAGATCCTCATATTTTAACCATTCGTTGTACAATATGTGGTCAGTTTTTCGTAGATACTATTTATGTTTAATTTTGAATAAAAATTCAAAATGATTATTGACCGTACGATGTACGATGAACAGTTATGATGTGAAGATCTCTAGGATTTCCACAATTTGAATCCAGATAAAATCCAAATCCCCAAAACTCAACCTCACCTTAACTTGATCATTTACTGGTAGGGTGGAACACTTGGAACCAAAATCCTAAAGCGTAACAGGAAATAAATTGGACTGCACTGAACAATTCAATTTTTGTGGTTTTAAAACAGTATTGGTTTGAAACAGAAGAACGATTTGGTTTCAGTAATGAACATCTGAAACCGTACCAAAATCCAATCGCACCACAAAAAATAGCCTAGATTCCACATTAAAAAGATCACAAACCTTACATTAGTTAGCATTCTTCAAGCCGTCAATCTGTTGTGCCTATTTTGATTAAAAATTGAATATTGGCTGCAATTTTGAATCGTACTGATTTAAAACGCATATCAATGCTTGCTAGCTGCCCTCCGAAGAGACTGCAACCTGGTGGTTTTTACAAACTAAATACCGGTAGTGCTCTTGACGAGACTGCAAAAATGCGAGGTGTGGAAGCAGGGATTCATTATGAGAAAGGGAACTAATGGGGGCTATGGCTAAAGACCGTAGCTGCCATTCATGAAGCTAGTCATTTTGTTTGCAAATGATATAAACCAAAACCAAAACCGTTCAAAATCAAATCGAACTAAAACTAAATGGTTTAGTTCCATTCCAATTTTAGCTTCAAAACTGTATCGAACCGAACTGAAAAAAATTTCAGCTTCGATTTCAGTTTTACCCTAAACCGCACCGAATCAACCATACCCACCCCTATTTATTGGATTGAGAACTTGTACCCAATTGAATCCGGGTGAACTTGCAACAACCTAAAGCCTAATTCAAAAGTGCCTAAAGGGCCTTGCTTAAGTACCATAGTTCTTTTGAGCATATTATTGATTTGGAGTTTGAGGCATAACGTAACCCAAACTCAAACTCATATTGTAAACGTTAGGTTAGGGTTGAATAGGAACTCAAGTTACACCCCTAAATTTACGCATCTCAAATAGTTATTATTATTTTTTGGCTTGCTATCACTAGTAGTCTAATTATGCACATCAATGGTACCCTTAACCTCAATTTTGTCCAACTGTTTAATCAAATGTAAATCATATCACTAGTTGTCTAATTATGCACATCAATGCTACCCCTACCGTCAAATTTGTCCAACTTTTTCATCAACTGAAAATCATGGTAGGTGACTAAACTTTTAAGGGTAAACTCGTCTATCACACCAAACCACCCGCTTTGAGTTTTTAAGTTGCGTTCATGACCTCGAGTGTACGAGGTGAATCAAGCTCCCTATGCATTTCAGTGTTTAGTAATAATGAGAGATAGAGAATCAAACTCAGCACCTCGAGTGTAAGAGGTGAATACCCTTAAAGAGTTATGGTAAAAACTCATTACGTCTCGCATTGTACTATTATAATTAGAAAGAAGCAAAGATCAATGCACGTTAAAATTGATATTTGTACAATGGATGAATAGGATGAATTGAGTTGAGTAGATAGGATTGGGATTTGTGTTCAAGCCTTCAAGGGGTGTAATAAGTTGGGCCACACTTGCATTTCCAACCCACAGGCTCGTAGTTTGCATACTGCACCCTCACATGGGAGGTTTGCATTTTGGAAGTGGGCACTTGAATGGCTTCACATGGAGTGCACCGATAACACTTATGGTCACAGCTTGGAGGGCTTGACCCTATTTTGCTGATTTCTCTGTAGTTTGCTATTGCATTCATCTTTCCCACTCCTCCATGGATGCTCTTTGAACCCTTTAAACACAAGAAAATTTCAATAAAATTGCACTGAGGAGGGGGAGAGAGAGAGAGAGAGAGAGAGAGAGAGAGAGAAACCTCTTGTAGGGTAGCTTGCAAAGACTCTGGGCTTTTGCCTGTGCCCGTCAAGCATTAACAGAAGTTAGAAGAGAAACTAATGAGCTAAACCAAATACTGTCAAGCCACAGTGTGCCATCTCTGCACCCGGGTTCGAATTCCCCTCTCCGTAATTAGAATAGTTTACAATATAACATGTAAGATAAAAACATCCTGACATGAAAGAGGAAGAAGAAAAGGGGTTGATATGCGATGAAAATCTAAAAGAAAAACTCCATAAAAACTAAGGGCAGCAAGGAAAAAAAAGATCAATATCACAGAAAAAAACATATATAAATCCAAATTCAAACTTTCTACTTGAATAAGTTGCGAGAAAAAACACACATTTTTTATTGTAATGATTGAAAAGGACATCTTGAAGTTGAAAGGAGGGAAGTGAGTAACCTGTTTGATGAACACCAAGACCTGCATTTGGAGGAAAAGGCCTGCTTGCTGCAGAAACCCAACTCAATACTTGCAGAGCTATCACAAACCAATAAACTTTCCTCATTGCTTCAACCCACATATGATTACTGTGATTATGGTGAGTATGATTAGAGGAGAGAGAGAGAGAGAGAGAGAGAGAGAGAGAGAGAGAGAGAGAGAGATTTGAAATCAGTCACAACTCACAGCACAAGATGTACATGCACAAACTGATGGGAGATGTGTATTTTATATATATATATATATATATGTATAAATGTATATATAGGTGAAGAAAAAGCCTAGAGTACAAAAATCCAAATCCCCAGAAGCTCTGAAATTTTCTTGGTTTTCTCTCTATCTTGCATTGGTAGAGAGAAAATTTTGCTTCACAAGCAACTGATTCTGGGGTTTCTTGTCAAACTGTGAAAAGCTCTAAAAAGTATCCACCTTCATTTGAAAACTCATTTCAAAACCCTTATGACCAAAGGAAGATACTGATATGCTCTCTCTCTCTCTCTCTCTCTCTCTCTCTCTCTCGAAATATCCCTGTTTCTCTCTCTGAAATCAACCCAACAGAGTATTACTAAATGAGCGGGTCCCTATGCCCAAAATAACAGCTCCTCCTTTGGGGTCTGGAATACAGCTCTGTTAGCTGCCTAGCTTCCACACCTACTTTTCTATAATCTGATATTATTTGCGTTGCTTCAAATGAGTTAGTTAATACATTTATTTGGGTCAACTTCTTTTTTTTTTTTTTGGCAGGTTGGTAAGTGGGGAACACCCAGGCTTTGTGTACCTCCATCCAATCTGGACCCTCCATGTGGACCTGCACCAGTGTGGCATTTAATATTTTGGATGGCCTTGATTGTCTTCAAGCCACTTTCAGAATCCCAGATGATCACATTTACACGTTATCAACATTATTTTTGCTTTCTTTGTATTTGACAAACACATCCTCTCGTCTCTCTCTTGCATTCTCTTGCACACCTATTTACTCTTGCTTCGTAATTCTTTTTTATTTCTTCGATTTAAAGGTTAAAAATAAATTTCAACATAAAAAAAAAGGCAACAGGAGTGTGTAAAGGCGGAAAACAGTTTGTAAAAAATCAATTCACAATGAGAATTGTTAGATTTAATTGTTCATTTACGTTATTAATAACTAATTATATGTCAGTTTCATAACATATTCTGTATACATCAATGGTTAAAAATCATTTGCACAGATAACGGCGGAACGGTAGTGTTATTCAAACATAGAATTTGTTTACTAAATATAATTTCTTGAGGTTTGTGCTGTGAAAGCAAGTCCTATAAGCAAAAGCTCGATAGTTCAGTCTCTCTCTCTCTCTCTCTCTCTCTCTCTCTCTCTCTCTCTCTCTATAGCTGCTTTTCTCCGTACTAGTAGCAAATTTGAGTAAGAGTTTGCTGCAAATATTTTGCCTAAAAATGGGATTATTCGATCAGCACTAACGTCATAAAAAGGAAGACTGTATAGCAACAGCACAACACAACCCAATATCAAAAGGGATGCGATATCCACACATCCCATTTTACTTCTCACATACTTTTTTAATTTTCGACCGTCGGATAGGATAAATTAAAAAAGATCAACGGACAGAAATTAACAAGGAATGTGTGAGAAGTAATTTGGAGTATGTGGATAACACACTCTATGTCAAAATCATCCCTACATACAAACATGTAGATATATGCTAGTAAGTTCATGCTCCTAGGAATTTCTCCTTAGTAGTCAATGTCGAGGTTATCTATTATGTGCCAGCTTATAGCATGTATCGGGAAATATAGCAGTTGGATCCTTACCATTGAATCATACTGTTAAGGATTCAATTGCCATAGATCATAGTTCATATTATGAGCCGTTCCATATTAGAATTTTCGGTCTATGTGTTGAGTGTTACCCTAAGCCCCTCTCTTTCTTCCACCTGAAACTACAACTAAGAGTGCGGAAGAAGGTATTGATTCATTTATTGCTATGAGGAAAGGTCAATATGTGCTATTATATGATGGTCATTCCAGACCTCCCACCTGATATGCTCAACAAACTTAAGATTATGATTGATGGGATTGAAGATTTAATCCAATTTTGATAAGTTTATGAAAATTGAAACTGGTTTTGCTTGGAAGTTTGAATTCGATCTGAAGAAAATCAGACGCAAATCAGATTTACACTTCCAAGCAAATCAGAAGTCTAATCAGTTTCATACATTTGTAAGGATAATTCAATTTAAGTAAATGTTGAGTAAGTTAATCTCTCAACTATGATGAAATCAAGTCATGTATTAATAGCAAAACAAGGATGCTACTAGACTACAACAAAAAATTCAACTGTTTAATCAGGATATATCCTATCTCTTTATTGCTCTCATCACATGACAGCACAAAGAGAGATGGAGAGACGGGGATATACTCTATTACACCCAAGATTTTGCCGCACAACACCCTTCCCCTTCTCCCACATACAAGACGTACGTACCAAATGGCATCAACATTTAACTATACAGTGTTTAACCAATGCAAGTGTGCAAACCTATAGCAGATTGTGATGGAACTAGAATGGTTATGGTACTATTAGCTTCTACATTTGCGGAGACTTTTACATCCAAGCGGGGATATATAACCATCTTTCTTTCTCATTTATCTCGTGATATATTCTGATTCTTCCATAAGATATTATATCGAGTTCAAATATTTGTAAAATAATATTAAGAGTATATTACTCAAAGAGTAAGCAAATGATGACCAATATTTGAGGAATCATGCAACATTTTCCTTAAAATGGCTCCATTTCATCAACCATATGAACTGCAACGCAACAAGTACAAATTAAAGAAACTACACAAACATTGCCGACTATAAATCCCATTTCTCCAAATGAGAGCAAATATTTTCAAGCATGCTTACAACTGAGAGGCTCAATCAATCAACCTCTCACTTGGGAGACGAATCGTTACTGGCGGATTATTTCATAGGATGAATAACTGATTCGACAACAGCTTCCACTTCTTCCTTCACCCGTTCAAACACGCTTGGCCCTTTCACTTCATCTATTGAGGTGCTCTCATCAATAGAGAACGATTCTCTCTCTGCTTAATCTCTTCTTTCTTATTTGAACGGTTACAATTTAGTCACGTAAATATTTTATATTAATTTTTTTATAAAGATAATAATACAAAAAATAATGTGAGAAGAAAAAAGAGAAGGATATGAGAATAAAAGGGAAGTGAATCGTTATCCCTCGTCAATGTCTTCACTCCTTCCATCACTTCAAAACCCTTATGACCAAAGGAAGATACTGATATGCTATCTCTCTCTCTCTCTCTCTCTCTCTCTCTAGAAATATCTCTGTTTCTCTCTCTGAAATCAACCCAGAGTAGTACTAAATGAGCGGGTCTCTAGGCCCAAAATAACGTAGAGATGGATTGTCTGTTCTTCCATTTACTTACTTTTTTTATGTTTTTTTGTTTGTGCGATCACGGTTAAGTTATATCAATATTTTATATTTTTATTATTTTTTGTTTTATTATTTTTATAAAAAATTAATATAAAATGTTAACGTAGCTTAACCATGATCACATATCATAAAAGAACATAGAAAGAGTTGTAAAATAGAAGTGCAGAATCCACCTCCAAATAACAGCTCCTCCTTTGGGGTCTGGAAATTTCAAGAAATCTCGGCTCCTTTAGCTGCCTAGCTAGCTTCCACACCTATTTTTCATTAATCTGATATTATTTACATTACTTCAAAAGGGTATGTGAATCCAGATTTCCAGAGGGAGTGGCAGAAAGGAGAAAGGATCAGCACGGGAATTTAATGACTTACTTAATACATTTATTTGGGTCATTTTTTTTTTTTCAGGTTGGTAAGTGGGTAACACCCAGGCTTTCTGTACCTCCATCCAATCAGGACCCTCCATTGCATCAGCGTGGCATTTAAGAATTTGGTTGGCCTCGATTGTCTTCAAGCCACTTTCAGAATCCCAGATGATCACATTGACACGTTATCAACATTATTTTTGCTTTCTTTGTTTTTGACATACACATCCTCTCTTCTCTTGTTACACTCTCTTACACACTTGTTTACTTTTGTTTCATAATTCTTCGTTTCTTCAATTTAAAGTTAGAAAAAAATGTCAACTAATAAAAGAAAATAGGTGTGTGTAAAGGCAGAAAACAGTTTGTAAAAAAATCAATTCACAATGGGAATTGTTAGACTCAGACGTTACGCAAATAACCGTTAACTATACGTGAATTCTATACGATAACCTATATGCATCAACGGCCAAAAATCAATTACGCAGATAGGGGGTTGAACGCTAGTGTATTTCCAGCATAGAATTTGTTTAGTAAATATAATTTCTTGAGGTTTGTGCTGTGAAAGCAATCTATCTTTATCTGGCTGCTAGGAAGCAATAGGCACTGCTGTGCCGTACTAATAGCAAATTTGAGCAAGAATTTGCTGCAAATATTTGGCCTAAATGGGATTATTCGGTCAGCAGCAACGTCATAAAAAGAAAGACTGCTATAGCAACAGCACAGCACAACCCAATGTCCAAAGCATCCCTACGTACAGGTGCACATATATGCTAGTAAGTTCATGTTCCTAGGGATTTCTCCTTAGTAGTCAATGTGGAGGTTATTTATAATGGACCGGCTTATAGCATAGATCGAGATATATGGCAGTTGGATCCTTAGCCATTGAGTTATAGCGATAAGGATCAAATGGCCATAGATCTTAGACCATGTTACGAGTCGTTCCATACTAGATTTTTCGGTCCATGTGTCGAGTGTTACCCTAAGCCTCTCTCTTTCTCCCACCTGAAACTACAACTAGGAGTGTGGAAGAAGGCATTGACTCATTTATTGCTATGAAGAAAGGTCAATATGTGCTATTATATGATGGCCATTCCAGCCAGACCTCCCACCTGATATGCTCAGTAAACTTAAGATTAGGATTGATGGGATTGAAGATTTAATCCAATTTGATAAGTTTATGAAAATTGAAACTGGTTTTGCTTGGAAGTTTGAATCCGATCTGAAGAAAATCGGATGTAAATTCGATATAAACTTCCATGCAAATCAGATTCAGGTAAGTAAATATCTAAACTATAGTAAAATCAAGTCATGTATTAAAAGCAAAACAAGGATGCTACTAGACTACAACATGAGATTTTAACGTGTAAGTTGTAACCGGAATATATCCCACATCTTTGTTTTTCTCATCACATGACCGCACAAAGAGAGATGGAGAGATGGGGATATATTCTATTACACCCCAGATTTTGCCCCACAACACCCTTCCCCTTCTCCCACATACAAGACATACCGAATGGCATCACCATTTAACAATATAATGTTTAACCACTGCAAGTGTGCAAACCTATAGCAGATTGTGATGGAACTTAGAGTGGTCATGGTACTATTTAGCTTCTACATTTGCAGACTCTTACATCCAAGCGGGGATATATAACAATCTTTCTATCTCACTTATCGCGTGACTGTTTTGATTGTTCCATAAGATAATATATCGAGTTCAAATATCTATAAAATAATATTAAGAGTATATTACTCAAAAAGTAAGCAGATGATGAGCAATATTTGAGGAATCATGCAA